CATTAATGCGTGCATTTCGTTGTTGTGCCAACAGTCGCATGTCCAAAGTCAGATTGACCGACCTCGGGCATTACGTGGCCCCAAGAGTAGGACATAACTGCGCGGTTGGTCATCTATGGGGATGTTCTGGAAGTTTCTCTATTTTATAACACTAAGACAATGGAAATGGTCTTGTATCTGAACTTTTGGTTAATGAATGTCCAAGAGCATGGAGTTGTTACCTCGGTTGCACTGCTTGAGGACTGGATTGCGTAATAAATGCATGCACCCTTTCTGAAATCGTCCTTCTACTCTTTACCTGAGGGACTGCAATTTGAGAAAATGGACGTAGTACATTTGAAGACAACTGACCTGTTTCAGACGTTGACGAGTGCAAAGTCACTCCGGATGTCTGCAAAGCGGGCTACGAATGTCGAAACGTGATTGGGTCCTTTCAGTGCATTCGTCAAGTGCCCTGTGGGTTCGGCTACGTGCTAAATGCCGAGACTCAGGAATGTGAAGGTGATTAAAGCAACCTTTTTCTCATCTTGAAAGGCGGTCAAATGGTTTCTAGAGTAAAAATGCTGGTAGCCACGTGCGTTCGGTTAAACCTGGACGCACGCTTTTATCGGTTAGTATGCAGAATGCATTTCCGTTTGGCTCTCTGTTCTTTACTAAACATTCCCTTATAATGGTTTTAGAGACAACAAGTTTTTTAACTTAACAATCATGCTACGCCTCTCGATTTGATGCCAAAAGTGTTCTTCCTTTTGCTTGTCCTTGGTGAACTTGAGGCATACAATTTTACACATCTCCATTAGGGCGTTTGAGGTGTGTTTTAAGAGCCAATGCAGAATAATTTCATTTTCTACAAATAGACATCGACGAGTGCAAGGCACAGCCGGATATCTGCGGTCCCAACATGATCTGTGTAAACGTACGGGGTGGAATGAAATGCCTACCGAAGAAGTGCCCTGGGAAATTGAGGTAACCTCGTCTCACATTTAGCCAACAAGGAGGAAGGCAGTGCTAAACAGGAATTAAATGACATTGCTACAATGACAAGTTACTTGCATTTACTTAGCATCTAGCAGCCGTAGTCAATATGTCTTGCTTTCACTTCATTGAATTCCATTCTTCAACCCAGCCCATGTAATGGTCTCACTACAACCAACTATTCATACTTATATGACTGTAAACAACTAAACAGAAGTATGTTAAGCATACATGCATCCTTGTTGTTGTTGTTTTACAGACGAAACTCCAATGGGCTGTGCACGCCTTGTCCATCTGGCTATACATTCAACGAGCGGCGTAATAGTTGTGAAGGTAGAGCCCCATTTTGAGCGACTGAAAGTTTGCTTGAATTTGTCATTAGATCAGACCGTCTGTTTGCATCCCCAATCTTCACTCAACCATGATAAACATTTTCCATTTTAACCTTTTCGACTGTATTGTGCCGCAGTATATGGAGAGGAGAGAAGCCTAGAGTTTCCGTCACCTTGGGAGGTTATGGGAGCGCCATATAACTTGCTCATCGTGGTCATGGTTTTGACGACGTTAGGCGCGTAACGTCTGGAATGTGACATTGGTCCTGACCATGCTCTTAACAGAGTCAAATTGGCTGCATTGTATCATGTTCCAGATGCTTTGAACTGCTTTTTTTCTGGAGTGAGACATTTTTCTCCCGACACTTATTAAGCTCATAAATACGTTCCTAAATTATCCATAATCTTCTTTTTCGCCACGTACAATATTTTAATTGTGAATCACTTACTTCTAACTTCTTTCAAATTTTATACACTTCAATGGTCTTCGTAAATCTCTTCTTCCAAGCATAGACATCAACGAGTGCGAGTTGAATGCGACTCTTTGCAGAGCCTTTGAGCAATGCACCAACCGCCCTGGCGACTACATATGTGAGCCGAAGTTGCGATGTGAAATGGGCTTTCAACTGAACGGAAATGGAACCGTTTGTGAGGGTGAGGTTCATGTAATGAAACTTGTCAAGACGTCCATCCTCTAGTTACTTTGGGTTTCCTTTACCCAAACCATAAATGCTTGAATAAGAAGGAGGGTCATCCGTGCCATAGACTGAGCTTCTAGAGTGAGAACAACCAGTTCGTGGTTTACAGTGCGGTGAGATGTGTAGGACTCTGAAAATGTAGGCGTTGGTAAATGATTCAAGCCATTCTTTTGAATAACTTTGAACACCACTTGATTTCAGTTTTAAGACTTTAAAACTCTCTCTAATTTATTTTATGGCTGCAATAATTGAATACTCACAAGAAGTAAGCATCAGA